CAGGGGCCGCTGCTCTGGCCGACCTCCTACCGCACGAGATGGGGGCCCCGTGGGGCCTGCCCCTTCGAGACCCTGGGCCCCCGTGGGCAGCTGCGGCCGTGCTTGTGGAGTGCGGTACCGTCTGGGGCTCCGGGGTGGCCGTGGCGCCCCGCGTCGTGGTGACCTGCCGGCATGTGGCCCCTCGGGAGGCGGCCAAGGTCCTTGTACGCTCCACCACCCCCAAGTAAGGCCTGCAAGGTTGCCCAAGTTCCAACCCCCTCACCAGGTCTCCGTTGTGTATCCTAGGCCTCAGGTCATAATCCTGAAGATTATGGAGGCCTTCTGGCTTCATGTTCATGTCTTGGCGGTGCAGTGTGGCTAGAGACCTGTGGCCCTCCCCTCATCCTAGGCACCTAGAACCCCGGAGTAGGAGGTTCTGGGCCTCCTGGTAGGGGTTGAATGGGGCTTAAGCAAGATGCCAAACCCTGGGTTGGGGAACTGTGGGGTGTCCCAGCATTCCTGTCTGGGCATCTGTGAGCTCCCTCTCCCAGTCTGAATTCCTTCTAGGCAACTTCTGTCTTAGCCTGGTACCCACAAGTAGTCCTTTTGAATGGAGATTTCCTAACCCTGCCTTCTCTCCCCTGAAGGTAGTAGGGAAGTCCCAGGGTCCCAGGATGCCGCCCTCCTGGAGTTAGGAGAGGGGCTTGTTACTCTTACTTGATTTATATCTTAGATCTTAACCAGAACTTCCCTTCTGGATCAGAATTAACACATATAGGGTTCCACCAAATTAGAATGTGGGAGTGAGACCCAGGCAGGTAGATACACTGTGAACAGTAGTTGGGTGATACCAGCAGCCAGGTTGGGACTTCAGTCATTTGTTCCCTCTGCAGGAAAAGCACTCTTGCAGTTCTTTACTTCCACTTGCTCTGACAATGGAGACAGCAGCCTTGGCTTCCTGGCTTGATTTTCTAATACGTGTTCTTTCTGTTCCCTCTGTAGTCTCAGGTTCTTATCTTAGGCCAAAGCAAAGCAGTATAGCACCTGATGCCTGGTGTTTTCCTGTACCTGACTCAACCCAGCCTCTCAGCCCAGGCATTTCCAAATGCCTCTACTGAACTTTTGACATTAACCCAGCAGACCTTTGACATGGAAGTCGCCCCTGGCGGCCAACAGGGCAGCCATGGCTTTATAAGAATGATTGATGACGAGAATTTTCGTCTTGTGTGTAGTCCCCAATTCCTCACTCCTCCGCCCTCCCCCACCCCACATACTCTTACTTCTAGGAGACCTACTGGGTCAACTGGAAACTACCCCTGCAGAGTGGGTCGCTGGAAGCCCTTATATAGTCTTATGGAAGACGCTTGATCTGTCTAATCTGTCTAAGCTGAGTTGACACAATAAAGTCTTAAAACAGCCTGACACTTAGTAAGAGCTACAGGAGTGCTAGCATTTATGTAAACAGAGACCCAGAGAGATGAAATCGTATCATGTCCGCCCCACCAACTGACAGGATTATTGGTAACAAATGAGGCAATAAAGGAAAATGCTTAGAATGTTTGCCCTGGCTCCTATCACTATGTGACCTTGGGAAAATTACTCAACCTCTCTGGGCCTCAAATGTGCCATCTAAACTAGAGATAATACCAGTGCCTAGTTCACAGGGCTGTTGTGAGGACTAAATGAAATGATGTCCATGGAACGTTGACACCAGGCCTGGCCCACAGTGCTCCCTAGGTGTCAGGGGTTTATGATCATGGTGAAGTACAGCAAGCTTTATGTAGAAGTACTCTACTGTTGAGAAACAACACAGTATGGTTTACAAACAATATGCCCAGAGTTGTCTGCTGGTAGGTTTCAGGGCAGGCACCAAATCTTTTGAGTCCCAGGTCCATGACTTTTACTATCACTCATTATTTAGTTTCCTCCCAGTGCCAAAGTTCTGGAAAGCTAGCCTGTCATTTTGTTTCCCTTGCTCGCAGGAGTGCCATAATCTGGGGACATGTGGTATTTGCCACCCAGGAGACATCTCCCTATGACATAGCGTTGCTGAGCCTGGAGGAGGACCTAGATGGTGTCCCTATACCTGTGCCAGCTGAGCATTTCCATGAAGGTAAAGGCCAAAGGGGCCCTCTGGTCTGGGGCGAACCTCGGGAAGGAAGTCAGTGTTAAGCGCGCTAACCCTGCACATTGGGGCCAGTCCTCCAGGTCATCTCCCTTCCCCCACCCCCTGCTTGAATAATGAGTCAGGGTGCCATCAAGCTGGCATGAAAGCACCCTGGTTACAGTGCTTTGGCTGGAGTTGCTCTTGTAGGACTCCCTGCTTGTGCTCAGCATGCCCAGGGTCCTGAGGGGTGACGGGTGGCTGGAATCCTCGCTGAAGGGTGAGGACACCTCTTTCCTGAGGCCCTGAGGCAGTGAGTGTGGAGGTGCTGGGCCCAGGGGGCTCCTTATAACACTGCAGGCTGGTCTGAGAGATGTACTTTTGAGGCTCCAATGGCATGATTTGAGTAAAAGGTTTTGTGATGCTGCCACTGAAGTACCCAAGGTCTCATTTTGTGGATGTGGTGTGATGTGGCAACAGGGATGACAAGCTCTCTGCGTTGGCATCTCTTCTGCCTGTGACTAGCCCTGTGTCCTTGGACCAGCAACGTAATGTTCTCTGCCTCAGTTTGCACATCTGTAAAAGGGCGATAATGCTCCCTACTCCTGGGCATTGTGAGGAGATGTTGCCTGTAAAGCACTTGGTGAGGGAAGCTGGAGGACACCTTATAGCCATTATCACCATTTTATTTTCACCCACAGACTTCTTAGTCCCAGGAGATGGGTGTTAATTCCACAAATATTTATTGAGCACCTCGCTAGGTGTTAGGAATCCTAAAAAGTGACTACCCAGTCCAGCAGGGGAAGGAGGGCTGGAGAACAGCCAGATGCTGAGAAGAAGCGATTGAGTAGATACAGTGCTGGGAGCTTGGTGGAGGTCCTGGGGAACTCATGGAAGGCTCTCTGGAGGCAAGAGTATCTGAGCAGAAACTCAAAGAGCAGAGGGTTTGGCACTTTGGAGAGGGCAGGAATGGAATTGGGGAATGAGTCCTGCCAGACTGAGGAGGGTCCCCACCTTCACATTCCTTCCCTCCCTGACAGGTGAGGCAGTCAGTGTGGTGGGCTTCGGCGTCTTCGGCCAGGCTTGTGGGCCCTCAGTGACCTCGGGCATCCTGTCAGCTGTGGTGCAGGTAGATGGCACACCAGTGATGCTGCAGACCACGTGTGCTGTGCATGGCGGCTCCAGCGGGGGACCCCTCTTCTCTACCTGCTCCGGGGACCTCCTGGGTAACCAGCTCCTTGGCTCTCTCCCAGCCTTCCCCTTGCCAGAGCCTCAGTCCCATCCAGTGAGCATTTGGTGTCCAGACCTGGGAGCTACCCTCTGGAAAGTTGGTGGGCCTTATGCCCACAGGTAGTTAGCCAAGGTTTTCAAGGTTGTGCTGCTGAGGGTGGAGAGGGATGGATGCTGAGCTTAGAGGGAAGAGATCTGAGTTCTGTTGCCTTCTGTGCCACCAAGCCACAGCACAACCTTATGGTAAGTCACTTAATCTGATTTGATTTGTGAAACTCAGGAGTTGGATTAGTCCAAGGGTCACAAACTCAAAAGCCTACAGAGGCTGGGTGGCCAGAGTGAATGGGTGAGTGAGTGAGGAAAGATAGCAGTGAGTGAGGGTCAAGGGTGAACTGGGGTGAACACCACTCAGCTCCAGTGCATTATTGCCTCATTACAGAGCCATGTGGGCCAAACCTGGCTGACTCTCCAAAGTTTCACAAGAAGCCGTGAACCTTTTTTTTTCTTTTTTAAATATGTGGTTGTTAAATCTTTCAGTTTTTAAAAATTTGGTAACCAATTCAGGTTTAAAAAAAAAGTTCTGTTTATTTAAAAAAAAAAGCCAACTGTGAGTCCACGTGGATACCTCCACCTTCAGTCCAGCACACACAATTCATGCAAGCCTTCCCCCTAAGGGAATATTTCTGACCGCTTTCTCCTCCCAAAGTGAGAAATCCTGCCTTGCTCTTGCTAGCTACAGTGGATTTACTTATTTCTTCCACTGTAGTGTACAAATAAAGTACTTCCAGAATTCCTAACCCACACCCCTGTGAGAAAAAGATTTCCCAACTGGAGTGCAGCTTTGAGCATGTACACTTCTTTTTATCTTTAGCCTTAAAGTGTCCAATCATAACCGTGTTTTCCAAAGTTTCTTAGGTCAGCTCCTTTCTTGCCCTTCCCCTTCAGTGTAGTTATGTGATTTGTTTGAAATACAGTTAGGTACATTTGTCCCAGTCTGCATTCCATTTCTCTCCTATATACTGGCTGACTTCTAAAACTATATATACAGATAAGTTGATACAGAAATACAGACATGTGTATGCCTGAATTAGTATGTGTCTACCAGTATAATCTTCTAGCTCGGTCTGCTGAGAGGGGCAAGAAGCGGTGACACCCCAGTTACAATGATTACACCGAGAGCCTGAATCTTGGTTTCTAAGAGCCATTCTCTAATAAAAGGAACCAGGAACTGGTTGATTCCAGGGCTGGCACAGGGAATATCCAAGATGAGCCTGGAGCACCTTGCGGGTACTGGGGAGACTGCATGAATAAAACAAAAGTCCTACCCTCCTGGAACTGACATTAGTTGGAGACAAAGATAACAAAATAAGTGAAACACAGTATGTTAGATGCTGACAGTGTCAGGGAGAAAGTAAAGCCAGAAAGGAGGACTGGGGTGTGAGGAGCTTGTGTCCATGAAGGAAGCCTGGAATCTGTCACTGTGAGGGGACTGCAAGCCCCCAGCAGGCCCAGGGCCTTCAGGATGGAGGTGGGCCTCCCTTCCCTGTCCCCTGGCTCACACCTTCTTTTCCTCTCTGACCCCTCAACAGGCATCGTTGCCAGCAACACCCGGGACAATAACACAGGGGCCACCTACCCCCACCTGAACTTCAGCATCCCCATTACCGTGCTCCAGCCAGCCCTGCAGCGGTACAGTCGGACCGGGGACCTGGGTGGCCTCCGCCAGCTGGACCACACTGCTGAGCCAGTGAGGGTGGTGTGGCGGCTGCAGCGGCCCCTGGCAGAGGCCCCACGGAGCAAACTCTGAAGCTGTGTCACCCCTCTGGAGACAAGAGCAACCATTTTATGCCATGGGAAGTGCTGATGCTGGCGGCCTCAGGACCCGGACGTGGCTCGCCCCAGCCAGGCCACCTCTCCATCGTACCCACTTGTTTAGCTCTGGAGTCTGGGTCAAATTTTTCTTTAGTCCCCAGGGGTCTCCAACTTGGCAGCCCATTTTGGGGTGCTTTCTTGAGCCCCCATGTTTCTCTGCCCCCGACACTAGACTCAGCTCTGTTTTTTTCCCTCCTGTGGAGCCCAGTACAACCGTACAACAGCCCTGGTCCTGACAGACAGATGCTAGCTGGAAGCCCTGGTTTTGAGTCTGTTCCCTGTCTCCTGATGGCCACTGGCTGCCTGGAACAGCTGCTTCCCTGAGGCCTTGGCTCCTCTCTACTCTTGGGAAGAATTGGGCTGACGGAGCGCTGGGGCTTCCTCAGAAAACCTCGGCAGATAGGCCCCACTCTGAAGACGAGAGGTAAAGGAAAGAGCGCCTTCCTGTTCTGCTAGACCAGCGGGGAGGTGGAGTCCTTGAAAGCCAGGACTCTGGGGTCTTCATATGTCAGGTGTCCTGACCTACAGGGGCACTGTGACAGGGTGCCTTAATTTTCCAGCCCATAAAATGGGCCTCAGGGATCTTGGAGGGAGTGGGTAGAATGTGTCTGGTTGGGGTTTGGGAATAAATAGGACCTACAGGAGATGGACCTACTTCTATATATCTGATTCTCTTTTTCCTTTCTTTGTTTTGAGAGTTGAATGGGGAATAGGAAAACACCGGGCACAGAAATACGCCTTTCCTGTCCTGTTTTCTCAGTGGGGTGTGATCTCATGGGATGTTCTTGTGCCAGCCAGCCTAGTCCGGGTAGCTGGTCATGGTGCCAGTCAGCACTGGGTGGGCTTGCAAACCCCAGTAGGTGGTGGTCTTGGCCTGGCAGCTAGTATTTACAGAGTGCCCAGGATGTGCCCTGGCCTGTGCCAGGCCCTGGGGTGGATAGGAGCTGAGGATTTCAAAGGGGAATGTGGCCAAGGCAGCCCCAAGGAGCTAAGACCCACCCTGGGAGTCAGGAACATGCACTGTGTGCCCAGGGCCCTGCACAGGTGGGCCCTCAGGAAATGATAAATCACTGACAGGTTGAATGCCACGTTTGGGAATGACTGGAGGGCTAATCCAAGCAAAGAGACTCGCTGGGAATACTTTGTCACATCTATTTGTTGAGCACCAGCTCTGGGCAACCAAAGAACACTCCTGAGATGGTGGGTCTCCCTCGTGTGGATTAGGAGTGGGGCCAGAAGGCAAAATTAGCTTGAGAGAAATCCCATAGTAAATTAATGGAGGCAGGGAATGAGGGCTGAGGTCTGACTTGGCTGAGCGGGAGGGGGAGGATTTATTCCAGCCTGTGTGGGGAACCAAGGAGCTCAGGCTATTATGGGGAGACTGGTGTGTCAGGCTGTTGTGTGTCGAGCTGGGCACTTCTGTCCTGCTCAGATGGAAGACCATGTCTGGGGCCCCTAGGAGTGGGGATCAGGGAAGGCTTTATCAGGTGACTCACAAACTGAACTGAAGGGAGAGGAGGCATTTACCAGGTAGGCTGGAAACAGGGAGGATGTTCTGGGTTGAGGACAGCGGGAGCTGGGGGAAGTGTGAAACTGTGCGTGTGTCTGGCCGTGCTAAGTGGAGAGAGGATTGGAAAGGAGGCTGGAGAACCCATTACAGCAGCCCTAGTGAGGGGGAAGATGGCCAAGGCAGGACTGTGGGCACAGAGAAGATCAAGCATGAACCCAGGACTTCATGCATGCTAATCATGCACTCTGCCACTGAATTATACCCTCACTGCCTTCCTGCTCTTTTTTAAACAATAATTTCATTTGGAAACAGTTTCAAACTTAGAGAAAAGTTGTAAGAATTCTCACACACCGTTGGCCCAGACACCCCATACCACTTTTGCCAGATGCCCCAGTGATGTTCTTTGTAACAGAAAGGTCTCATTTGGGATCATGAGTTGCACCTACTTGCCATGGCCCTGTCCCCCTTGACTTGCAGCAGCTCCTACGTCTTTCCCTGAGTTTGATGCTGTTGACCTTCCTGAAGAAAACAGGGCGGTCATTTCCTAGAATGTGCCTTCCTCATGATTAGATTTGGGATGCACATCTTTGGGATAGCACATTAGTGTTGTTTTCTTCTTATCATCGTGTCCTACCGGGTGTCACACACATGATGTTTATTTGTCGAATTACAGATAATAGCATTGATCTTTTGAGTAAGGTGGTACCTGCTAGTTTTCTCCACTATAAAGTGTTTTTCTCTGTAGTAAGTATTTGTGTGGAAATATTTTAAGACTATATAAGTGTACTGTTCCTTATCCCACTTTCACCTACTACGTTTATCACCATTAATGTCCCTTGGCTGAATAACTTTAATGTTGGCCAAATGGTAATTTTTTATTTTCACTTTTCCTCCTACATTTATTTGTTGGCATTCTACTATAGGTAAAAGCTTTCCCTTCTCTCTATTTAATTATATCTGGGTGGAATCATGGATTCATACTATATTTAATGGATTATAATTTACTATTATTATTATTTTGATACTAAAATTGTCTCTGTTGGCTGGTGAGAGCTCTTACAGACTAGCTTCCATGTTCTTTTGGCATCTCCCCATCATTCTTTGAGTACTTCCTTCAAAGCAAATGTTCTAGACTTACCTTGTACTTTCCTTGGAATCAGTCATTTCTCCAGGGTTCTTTTTAGTGGAGAATGGTATTTAGAAGCAAAGATCTAGGTACTAGGTGTGCCTCTTACACTGGGGTGTTGCTGTTTCTAGGCCCTTTCAGTAGACAGACCTTACATCTATATTTATTTCTATCTCTATATTGTAAGCCATGAGTTACCACCAATCTCCCCTTCTCATATTGGTATCTCCTTCCTGTCAGTGAAACATAGCTCCATTATCCTCAATATGTTAACTGTTCTGCAGTGTGACCAATCTTCTGACCCCATCAGGCTGCCCCTGCCACCTTGCTCTGATGCCCTTCTTATACGGTCCACCATTACTGCTCCGCACAGGCCTGCCTCGTGATTTGACTTCATTAAGGAGATAGAAGTAAGCCACCGTTGCTTCTTAACTGCTTCAGCCCAAAAGTAACACATGTTACTCCTGCTCATGTTCCTTCCATGAGAATTTGGCCCCAGCCAGAAGCAAGGGGTGGGGCAGGGATGGGAAATGTAGTCCCTGGCTGGACAGATGCTTCTCAGTAGGACCCCTATGCCATAGAAGGGGAGAATGGTCTTTGTGGAGAGCTGGCTGGCTCTGCCAAGCTACATCACTCATATTACTGAAATAAAAGTAGCTTTAGTGTTCAGACCCTCCTGGACAGGTGCCAGAAAGCTCCTTGACCTGGGGAAGCTCTGGGGCCAGTAGGTGTGAGTGATGACTGAGCATCCCTCTCTGCCTCGTTCCCTCCCTTCTGGCCTCCTGGGCACTCAGAGTCTCTCCTTCCTCATAAGTGCAGTTTGCATTTGGCCATCTGGACCTTTCTAGCCCTTCTCTCCATGACCTTTTATATCTAGCTCTCCTTATCACATGCCTCATTATCAGATTTCCTCAGTAAATGCCCAAGAGAGCAGATATCTGATTGTGCGCACCACCTTCTCATGCCTTGCTCCATCGGGGGCTGCCCCTTCAGAGGAGCCGTCCATGGTCAGGGTGGATTCATTTAGGCTGGGGGAGGAGCTCCAGCATGGTCTGGATTGCAGCTGAATCTGGGTGCTGTCAGCGGAAGCTGTGGAAGTGGGTGCAGTGAAGGGCCTGGGGCCACCAGTGTTTAAGGGACAGAGGCAGAATAATGGCCTGCAAGGGGGCTGAGAAGAGCCAAGCAGAAGCACAGGAAGAAAACCAAGGAGAAAAGTTTTCTAAGTAGAACCTAGGTCATCAGGAATCTGTTTTCCTCTCTTCTTTCTGGGCATATATTAGACTGCATCTCCTAGCCACTGGCACAGTTAGGTTTGTCCTTGAGTTCCAGCTCCTGGGATGAGAGCAGAAGGGAAGTGTGCCACTTCCAGGCCTGGCCTGTAAGAACCCTCTACCCGGTTTCCTGTGCCCTGGTGGGAATGGAGGCAACCCTTAAAAGAGACCTTGGAAGCCACTCGTTAAAGCTGGCCTCTGCTGTCTGGTCCCTGGGTAACTGTATGGCACGGGCAGCAGCATTAACCAGTCCACTGGCCTGGTACTGATACCCAGGCAAGAAAGGCGCTTCTGTTGTATTTTAACCAATTAGATTGCAGGCTCTATTTGTCACAGCAGTAGAACCTATCCTCATGGATATAGTCTTTCCCTAGCTGGGAGCACTATGCCATACCACATTTCAAGGAAGAGAAGAAGAAACGGGGATTTTCCCCTGTTGTTTGAGGCTTATGAATTTAAGCTAAAACTACGGATGGAAAAGGAAAACACCAACCAGGCCCTTCAGATGAAGCTGAGTTGTCTCCTCAAGCAGGGATACTGCCTCTCTTTCTCTCGGACCCTGAGTTGATCCCAGTCCCCTGGAGCTCCTCCCACCCCTGGGAGCCAGCAGCAGAGTCACCGGCTGTCAGGGAATGGCTCCGGCCTGGTGGGGCTCTTCATGGCCGAGAGCCAGCAACACTTCCTCCCCTCAGACTCTGTGATGTTAGACAACCTGCCTGCCATTCCTCCTAATCTTTAAAGTTCCATAGAACTACCAACGTTCAGCATCTGAGCTGTACCTCCCTACCACCTCTGGCACCTGGAAATTCAAAGACTAAAATTCCTTACTAGGCACAGAACCCTAATTTTCAGTCCCACAGCTGTGCACACTATTGAATGGGAAGACAGGAGTGTTGTGGGGTGAACTGTCTCGGAAGGGGCCAAGAAGGGATGCACTGAGGCCCTCTCCCCTCTCGGATCAAGGGGTCCTCTGGTTGCCGAGAAGGTGTCAAATGACAATCAGACACCTTCCCTGATTTTCGTGTTTTGGGGCAGGTCCTTAACAAGCCATGCCTCGAGCCCAGTATGGGCCACTGCACACCTCTCTCCCCCTTCTCCCAGCTCCAGGTTTGTGCTGCAGTGTTTCCATTCTTCCCCCCGCACCCTGCAGATGGGAATCCTCTTCATCCACCCAGCCCAGTGCCTCCACAAAACTCCCCTTGACCTTCCCAAGCCCCAGGGCTGTGTCCCTGCCATGGGCAGGCTGTAGTGCTCTTCCTCACCTCTCTGTCTCCCACAGGGCCGGGGCATGTGCCCACTACATTTCAGATGCTTGCCTGACTCACCATTGAGACTCTCCTTTGCCAGCTCCCTTAGGGAGCTGAAGGGCTGAAGGGCTTTCTGGCTTTAGGGTCGAGGGCCTGCTCCTCTACTAGCTGCGTGATTTTGCCTAAGTTCTTAACCCATGAGCTTCAGTGTCCTCATCTGTGAAATGGAGATTAATAAAACTTAGATTGGAGGACCCACATGCAAAGTAAATTTGAGAAGCTATCTGAAGACTTAGCTTGTGTTCAATAAATATTAGCTATTATGTTTCTAAGGGTACCGATAGGATTGTGTCATCAGAAATGAAGCATTCTTGTTGCCAAGGGCTGAGTGGAAGGAGGAGTGACTGCTGAGTACGGGGTTTCTTTTTGGAATGATGAAAATATCCTGGAGTTAGATAATGGTGATGGTTGCATACCCTTAACACCACTGAAGTGCACACTTTAAACAGTGAATTTTATGGTATGTGAATTATATCTTAATTTAGAAAAATCATTTTAACAAACATTAGTGAACTCCTAGGGAACCGGTACTGAGTTCAATTCCAGACACTGGGGACTCAAAGTCTAGCAAAGTAAGGTCTCTGCCCAAAAGAGCTGATCAAAGGTGGCTGTGGCCCTCCTTGGTGTCAGAGTTTAACCCACACCATACTTTCCTCTTGGGGTTTCAGGAAGAAAACAAGGAGATAAAAGTTATTTGGAATTTTGCAAAGCCCAGGACAAAATGAAGGCTCGCTGCACCTGGAGCATCAAAGCCAACTCGTAGCTCCCTGATAGGTCCCTATGAGGCAGGGCCTGTGGGCTTTCTGCACCCACATTCTGGTGGCCTTGAGGGCTGAGAGAAGGAGGTGGAGACTCCCACACCTCTGACTATTCCCTCCTCCAGCCCGCATTTACAGGCCAGGGTGCCAGCTGGGATGGGAAGAGAGGCAAGGAGTCCAGAGAACTGGAAGATGAAGCCTGGGCTGTGTGGGCTAATAATGAGAGTGGGATGCCCGGGGGAAGATAGCAGTTCCTCTCCCAGCTTGAGATGATTCTGGCCACCAGTGTCTTCTAAATGGAATTGATCACGACACTCCCTAGACGAGAGGTACTAGATACAAGGCTTTTGATCACAGCTTTTGGAAAAGGTACAGAAATGCTACTTCTAGCATAAATGTCCATGAAAACTGAGAAGGTGAAGGGCAGTATTCAAAACAGCGTTGGGCTGAGTCAGGAAGCTGCCAACTAATGTAGTGTGCAGCCTTGGGCAAGCTAATCCGCCTACTTGAAACAGCTGTAATAAAAATGGCTGCTGTGTATTGGTTGCTGCCGTGTGCAAGGCACCATGCTAACACACTTCACATGAACGGTCCTGTTGAATCTTTTCTACAATGCTTTGTCACCAGATTGGCTTGATGCTACCCCCGGGTTGCAGTCTGCATCAGTACGTTTCTCACCAGGTCCGAGTCCAGGTACTTTCTTTTTTGCTCTGGATTCTCTTTCTACCTAGTTTTCCCAGTTTCAGGAAGGCCTCCCGTTCCCCCACCTTTTCACCCTCAAACCTAACTCAGACATCACTCTTCTACTTAAAACCCTGCAGTGGCATCCCTTTACCCTTGGGATCACACGGACAGTCTTCACCAGGGCCTGGAGGCTTGTACCACCCTGCCATGTTGGGCCACTCTGTCCTCTGCTGTGGCTGCCTCTGTAAAGCCCCCACTCTCAGCTCTCCGTCTTGTCTTTGCACACCCTGAGCACCCTCTGCTTCCTCTCTCCCAGGGCTAACTCCTTCTCATCCTTGGAGAGAGGTCTTGGCACCCTTCCTTTGCCTCAAGTCTTTCTTACTGCAATTAGAGATAACATGTGTTTGCTGTTTAGTATCTGTCTTTGCCTAGACTATCGAGGAAAGCAGAAAACATGGCTGTTTTGTTCTACATTTGACAACCCCCTCTGCGGCCTCCAACTCCCACCCTGCGCCCAGCGCGGTGCCAAGTGGGTTTGCATTCTTATTATTTATACGCTTGAAGGCAGGAGGCTGGTGATCCGCCGGAGGTGGCACATTCTGGGCCGGAGCCCGCGCTCTAAGGAACTGCGGCTGTAAAGGCGTCTGGCAGGAAGCCAGGCCGAACTTTGCCCAGAGTCGGAGGGGCTGGCGCCGCGCGGCCGGGCCTCCGCCGCAGGGGTTAAGTGTTCCGTGTTAGGGCGGTTCGCGCTCGGGCCAGTGGGGCCGGTGGCTGCAGTTCCCGGGGGGCCCGCCGGGGGCATCGCCGAGCCTGGAGGG